AGCAACCGACGGTTCCACGAAACGCTTCACCGAAGCTTGAAAAGCATCGCTTGGCTCTTTGTGCCCTCTATGACCATCCAGATCATTTGATCATTCGTGCTTTCCAAGACTTTCCCATTTCGTCATCCAGTGAAATCACTTGGGCGAGACCGCCCCATTTCTGTCAACAGGCCTCTTGGAGCCTGAATAACAATATCCTGGGCTGAAAGGTTCTTGCGACGATGTCGTAGAGGATGAATACTAGTACGTATCAAGACAAGAGGAATCCTTTGGGAGGGGGGAGTGATCAAATGTTCAGTGAAACAACATTGAATCTCTGAAAGAATGACGATGAACAGGCTTCGACAAAAGAAGGAACAGCCATTTAAAACATAAAAGATCACCAAGTAGTGTAGCCCGAGCGAAACGCCGGCCTGATGTACCGTAGTACAAGCGAGAGCATAAAGAAAACAAAGAATGAGACGGAAGTGAAGGGGATATGGACGTATTTGAATCGCAACGACAGTACGACGGGAGTGAAGTGTTGACAAAGACCGGAGGTGGTGTAACGCAATGACGCTATCAAGAAGTGATGGAGCGGGGTGGCGCAAGGTGTCATCGGACCCGGTACCGCTTCGGGAGGCGTTTAACACCGGAGGGGTGTGGGGTCCGGTCACCGACACTGATATGTTAAGGCTAACCAAAAGACGATGTGGGCGCCGGGGTAATGCGGGCCTCGAGAGAAGTGAGGAATGGAGGCGAAGCATAGCGATCCCAAGCTGGACGTCTGATTTGGGATCGATCTTACTGGACGCTTTGCCCATGTGCCGTCACAGCAGCTTTCGGGTTGGCCCTCTCCAAGGGTGGACATCGGCATTGCCATGCGACCGGCCATGATCAGAACATCAAGCCGCATGAAAAGTTTGAACGTGCTGAAGTTCCACAGGCCAAAGAAGCATCTATTGGGGCTACTGACTTAGTAGTCATTTTTGAAAGCTTTTGAGCACATGCTGCGATTCTTGGAAGCTCCGCCGCATTTTCCGTCCTTAGGTTCACTACCTTATGAGTCAGGCCGCCTCAGAGTTCAGAATAGAAGTCAACACTCCACATCTTGTTGCCGTCGAAATATTATCTGCCGTCCAAGTCTTATCATATAGCTATGATGAATGGGAGCCTTCGACTGGAGATTTACTGGTACCGCTGAATAGAAGAATGAAGGCCACCAAAGTGAGATGCCTTGCAATCTTGGAGACCGACTCGCCTTTGCTGAGAAGTTTCGATATAGATTAAGAACAAAGTGACGAGTTGTCAAGTCATGTGGCAGTTCCAGGCGTTGGAATCAAGTCAAAGTCGACACCAGTAAAAGTACTGAACTAAGTAGTCTCCTACGCTGATAGCTCGTGGGGCGCTGCCTCCTCATCATCGTCCTCATTCAATGGACCTGAACATTAAACTCCAAATCTTTACAATAGGAATTGATTCACTCACGCTCTTTCGATCGAATTGACCTTTTTGTTAAAGCGTTATGATGATTCGCCTTTTCTGTGTGCTTAAGTCGTGATCGTCAAGCATTATCGAGAGTGGATCTTCGATTGGACTCATTATTTGCCCCCCCCCCCCCCTAAAAAAAAAACATTCCTGGTTGCAATGTCATTACTCCTTCCGAGAACGACCAGGGAAATTACGTCAAACATTGAGATGGATTGCTGGTTTGTTTCCTTGAGAGTGGTCTTGGAATCCGGACGACTTCGAGTTCACAACAGGGGTGTCATGCAAGTTCGGGCCACCCGAGAGATAAGCGTCAGAGATCGGAGAGCTGCCCGGAGTAACGTAGGATAGAGCAACGATCTTCAGTGGCATTCAGCACTTCAATTTGGGTTCAAGGGAACACTCCAATTTGCATCTTGTTGGCAAATTGTCCGATTGGTGCGGATATTTGCTGTTCGAACCAAGCCAACCTTCCCCGCTTCGCCCACAAAGGGGGTCGACTCAACCTACATGACGTCTTGACGGGCAGGCGTTGTGATCATCAAGTGCCTGGTCGAATTGCTATATGATTCTGGCGTTGCAATGTGATGGCCGGGATGTCAAGATACGCCGAGACTACAAATTTGCCATGATAGAGGGAATACGAGGCCACGTCCAAGTTGTGGGAGGTCCGTCCACGGGCACTGCGTGTTGCATTATCGAGCTTCCTACTTAGTTAATCGAACTGAATGAACCATGCCTAGCAGCGAGATTAAATATCACGGAAGTCCAAAATGAAACAAAAAAAAAGACGAAGAAGAAAAAGTAGTCATTCTTGAAAAGCTATCGAGTTCATTGACATTTGACTTCAATAATAGCAATATGATGCTTCAAAGATTGCTGGTGTCTCTTCTCGCTGGGGCAGCAGTCCCCGCCATCGCAGGTGTATTGCCTCCGAGACAAGCACCGAGTGCTGCAGAGGGCGTGATAACCATCACCAGTCCAGGAGGCTCGCAAATACGCTACAAACAGCCTGGAAAGGATGGCGTTTGTGAGACTACCCCTGGAGTCAACTCTTACAGTGGATACATCGATATTGCCCCGGACGTGCATGTCTTCTTCTGGTTCTTTGAGTCGCGCAGAGATCCTGCAAATGATCCGGTGAGTTATTCACTAATCCAACGATGATCGCATTCACAACAATGACCATCTAATTTGAAGGTGACGCTTTGGCTCAATGGTGGTCCTGGTTCCGATTCCTTAATCGGTCTTTTTGAAGAGATTGGGCCTTGCGAAGTGGTTGAGAACATGACCACCGTACTTCGAGACTACGCTTGGAATGAAATATCGAACGTCTTATTTCTCTCACAACCAGTTGGAACAGGTAAGCCCACGTGAAGTTCTGACTTAGGTCTACAATCTAACATGAACAGGTTTCTCCTACAGCGAGAAAGAGGTGGGGTTTCTTGACCCTACATACCTTCTAGTAGATAAGGAGCCAGAAACCTCCGATGAGCGCGAGGGCCGCTGGTCAGTCATCGACCCTACCAAAGAAGACACCAGTCGTCTGGCTGCTGTCACTTGTTGGGAAGTGGTGCAGGGGTTCTATGACGCCTTGCCGCAGCTAAGCTCTTCTAACATTTCTTCGATCGATTTTCACCTCTGGGCTGGTAAGCATTCATCTACAACATGAAAGGAAGGGTTTTGACTAACAATGAGACAGAGTCATTCGGAGGGCATTGGGGTCCGGCGTTTTACACCTTATTCAACGAGCGCAACTCTGAACTTGAGCAAAGCACTCCGGTCGGGCGCAAACTCAACTTGAAAAGTCTCGGCATTGTTAACGGCATCGTGGATGAGCACGTGCAGACCAAATACTTGCTTGACTTCACTCGAGGCGAAAACAATGGCTATGGCATCGATCTCATCAACGACACGATCTATGAATACGGCAAGTGGAACCGAGATCGCCCTGGCGGCTGCCAAGAGAAGCTTGACTACTGTGACTATCTTGAACGCGACTCAATTGTTCGACGGTCGGCTTGTTCTGCCGCACAATTCATCTGCCAATCCGATGTTGAGGGCATGTACTACACTTTCAACCTGGAAGGCCGAGGAACCTATGATATCGTAAGGAATTTCGTTGTATCTTGAGGAAAGATAGAGCTTACCCTTCTCAGCGATTCCCATCTGGCAAAGATGTCCCACCTGACAACTGGCGAGTAAGTTGTGTTATCTAGAAACCCGAGACTAATTAGTATCAAAACTGACTTGAGTGACCAGCCCTGGCTGAACACCGCCCAAGCACAAAACGCGCTTGGTGTTGATCTGAACTACACGTCAAGCAATCTGCTCTACACTGCTTACACCCTTTCAGGTGACTTTGCGGTTGGATATCTTCCGGATGTTGAAAAGCTTCTTGAACTTGATGTACAGGTGTCGTTAGTTTACGGTGATGCTGACTACATCTGCAACTGGCTGGGAGGCGAGGCGCTCTCACTCACGGCCAACTGGTCCGGGGCTGAGAAATTCCGCGACGCAGGCTACACCAGCTTGATGGTGGATGGTGAAGCCTATGGCGAAACTAGGCAATACGGAAAACTTAGCTTCACTCGAGTGTGGAATGCTGGACATGAGATACCTTGTAAGTGACTTCGTTTCGCGGCTCGTACCGAAGTAGCCATAAGTCTCGATTTAGTGAACGCTAACTCTCAGTAGACTTCCAACCAGCTGCTGCTTTCCAGATCTTCAACAGAACCAGTAATCGTTTTGATATCGCCACGGGACAAATCAGGATCAACCCTGATAGTACGTATCAGACGAATGGAACCGCCAAGACTACCAAGACAACTTCACTTCCGCCTTTGCCGGCACAGACATCAGCTTGAATAGCCAAATGAGACTTCCATGAATCTCGTGAGACCTGAGAGCCAGGCAACGAAACACGGCCCCATCCGACTTGGTCGTTCTGCTTGGGGTCTAGAGATATGGGATGTCGACCTGTGGGGACTAGGGTATGGAGGATCTGGGTTATTGCTCTGATCTTGACACTGTTCAAACTTAGGATAGTGAAAGAAACATCTATGTTGAGGAAGATCATTGCAATTGACCTGTCAATCGGTCGGAAGTCAAAAAGTGATGAGCTTCTGATAATATGATCGATAGCTGTCCAATCCATGTAGCTCACTTCCAAGCCAAAGAATGAAGAGAAGGGTTTCAGGAGTTTAATTTAATTAAGGTCAACTTAATTAAGGTCAACTTTGCAAGAAGGACTGAGACTCGGCTCGATGCAGACTTACTGATTAATGGCTTGCGTTATAAATATTTCTTATGAAAGCTATTCGATAGGAAGGACATAGAGAACTAGTAAGTAAGTAAGCCAAAATATGCCTTGTCGAAACCGAGTATCAGAGAGTAAGATGAATTCTGTCAATCGAGAGATATAACACTTTCAGTAGGACATCAATAAGTCGAGGTAATAGTCGCGGGAATGTTCAGCGCTGAATGTGATCCAACTTCAACTTTTCAGCGCGCCCTCTAGTCCTTACGTGCAGTCAAATCTTCTCGGTTCTCAGTACAGGGAATTGTGCTATGTGCAGCTTTGCGGTGCCGTATGGAACCAAGCGGGCCACAAATGTCTCCCCGTGCACAGCTGTATCGACTGCACTGGGGTCTGCTGCTGTTCCGTTCTGAACAGGCCAATCTACCCAAGCAGCCTCAACCTCGAGATATACGGGCGAAGTGCCTGAAGCCCAAATCGGGTTCGGAAGAGCAGCCACCTGCCTCTCAACTCCTTCCACCCAAGGGTCTCTTTCAACGATCACTTTGACGCCCTTTCTAGGGTCAACTCCAATGTTCCAACGAGAATTCGGGAGGTAGTCGTGATCACGGCACGCTTTCCTCCACGGCTCATCGTCTTGATCGCTGACATTTGCAAGTTCTGTACAATCGGAGCTTTGGTCTTTGTAGTTGCGTGGAAGTCTCGTGATCGTCTTGTGGCCGACTTCGTAAGCATAGAGCAAGGGGCCATAGTAAACGCTGACAGACTTGTCGTCGTGTTCCTTGACCCTCACATCCGCGTTCAGCGTGACGAAAATGACAAATTTTCCTCCAGAAGGAATCTGTACACGGTGAAAGAATTCTGAATCTCCGTTTCCAGCAGTCGAGCCGAAAGGTTGCGTTTCTCGTCGAGACTCTGATTCGTTTCCACATAGCTCTATTGTGGAGGAGCTCGATGACCAATGTGGAACTCGGATCAGGAACTCGAAGGACTCTTGCGCATGGATAGAATAACGCAATGCGCAGGGAACAAAAGGGTAGTTTGATTCGCAATTGATGCTTATTCCGTCGATGTCCAGTCGAGAAGGAATGAGATGGGCATGGACCACTGAAGGCTCGCCATGGCTTGTCTGACCTCGGAGAAAGGCGTTCATCAACATCTTGGGGTATGCGGTAGGATGATTGACAGTACAGCAAGGCTTTCATATCCTGTTAGTAGAAAGACCCATGATGTCTAGACGGACCACTAACAAATTCTGGCTCTAGTCCAAAGACATTGGCGTATCGACAGACATCGTAAAATGGCGTCTTCTCGTCTTTGGCAAGTTCCAATTCACAGGCCCACGGCTGGTTAACCTGAGTGATGTATTGATGGCTCCACCAATCCGCACTAATTCCAGCTGGAATGGCGTTGAACGCTGCTAATTCCACCCGGTCGGCCAAGTCATTGTCCCCAAAGAGTTGGTAAAGGTATGACAATGAGAACATAAGCTCGACGGAGCAACAAAGCTCAGAGCCCCGTTGAGGAGAGAGGCCACCGATGTACTCATCGCTACTGACTGATCCGGCGGGAGTTCCATGATATTTGAAGGTCTTGCGCACAGCATCTCTGGATAAGTTCGCCAGCTCAGGAGATGGGTGCATTCGATATAGATGAGCTGGATAACGGAGTCCTGTGTATGTGATGTCAATATCAGCGTGCGTCTCCATCTTAGCGACTAACCTTGCGCAACATTGACACCGTGCTTGAAATTGAGAGACATATATCTGACAGATGGCTCTTGTGGAAAGTCTTTCCCGAAGAAGATGGTCCAATCTCTTTCCATTATTCGAGATCCTTGCCACATCATCTCCATGACCTCCCAAATGATTCTGCGATCTTGAGTATCATGTGTTTGGTCGTAGAGCCATTGAAGAGTTAGTGCTAGCTCATGGGCGCGGGCAACACCAAAGAGCTGTAAGTCGAAAACATCGTCCTTCTGTGGGATATACCCCGCATAGTTATCCTTGAGCATGGCGTGCACTAGTCTAACAAAACGGAAGATCGCGTTCATGATGGTCTGCCGTTTTGAGGAGTCCGCAATGGCATGATTCATGAGGCCTTGCAGCAAAAGACAGCGCGCCCAGATACCACGAGTATGGGGCGTTGTCTCTGGTCCAAGCCAGCCATCCGTAGCTTGGTGAGATAACGTGTAATCAAGAAAATAATCCGCCTGTTTCTTGATTTCGATGTACAAATCCGGATCTGATGCCTCGTCAAGCGTGTATGCCAAGGGAACAATGTAGTTATACCAGTACGGAGCTGCCTCGTCCAAGGGGGTGTACTCCCATGTACCCCCAAGCCAAGTGCTTTCTTTGACGAAACGATAGAAGTAGAACAAGTTGCCTCCAAGACCTTTTGCACTAAGTCGGAGCTGATCTTGGAACCACCCATTGGCCTTAATAGCGCCGAGAGGATATGAGTCAAATTCAAGAGAGGTGAGTGCTGATATAGATGTAGAGACGTGAGACATAGTGATGGAGAAGAGTTTCTTTAGTTGAGTCTGTCGGACCTGTTGCTTTTGGAATGACCCAAGTCACAATGTATCGCCAATAACAAAGGTTATTACCAGATGCTAGGTTGGGAGAGGCTGGCGGACACTCAAAATAAATCATTTTAAATAAACATACGTTATTGATAGCTCGATCTGGGCTAGGCTGGTACAAGCTGGGTACATGTGACGAATCATCGTTAGCCTGCTGCATGGTCGGCAAGACCTCCGGAGCTGCAGAGGGTGGTGGCACGGGTGATCCTCAAGGATCTGAGGATGGGCCGAGACCATACGACAAAGTCCAGTAATTGAGGTTATTTTGCTGCAGTGTCTAGTGGAAAGTATATCAATAGGCTCAGCTTGATTGGAAAAACAAGAAAATACCTTTTGGGACTGCCAGTCTAGTAGTTTTCCTCAGCTCCCCGGCACTGACAATACATAAATGATGGGAAAAGTGCGATTAGGAGAGCAGGCTTGCAGGTAATTACTTAAGCAGGTATTTTTTGCGCTCATTAGGAGTTTGAGCAACCTTATCAAGTGAAAGATAGCCTATATAGGCTTGGCGAAAAGCCCTCGCTTAAGCCACCTGTATTCGTGGATAGAAACATATTTCAACCAAATAGCTTTAGAAACTCTGCCACTGCTCGCGATAGCCCACCACATTTACTGTTTCCGTCAATATTACGCTCTCCTCGCCTTTTTGTCGGCCATCATCCATTGGAGGCCCGATATTTGAGACCCAACATCTAACAGGCCGTGTTAAAAATAGGGTGCAGGCCCAGAGATAACGGAGCTCGGGAGATGCCAGCTTGAAGTAATTCATTTTTACGCTCAAGTTCGAAGAAGCTTAAGAGTGAAAACCCACCGGGCTGCTGGTTTCCGCTACAGGAACGTGATAAAGCCCTCCAGATGACTGATCACAATCTGGTTCATGGCCCCTGCAGATTTAAAATAGGGTCTTTGAACCAACATGATTATTATCGCACACCGAACTCCTGAGCATTGTATCAATACCTTGGCCATTCAGGTGGCTGAGACCATCAAGCATAATGTGTGATCAAAAAGTGATGTTTTTGAATGAGAGGGAGAATACCTAGTTATCAAGTCAGTTCATGAGTTGGTGGGCGAAAGAGGGAGCCCATGACGAAACAATGGCATGTGGTAGTTCTAGGTGAGCACAGACTCACGCAAGTTCGGTATCGTGACAGCCTATGGCTTATCGATGGATGTCATTGGCGCTTCGATTAAGATTGATACATCTTTCACACTTGATCTGGCAATCCTCGCATTATAAGGTAATAATGAACAGATTGATTCTAAAGCGTCAACTTCAACATTGGCTCCGCTGGTTACTAAAGCAATTTTCTTCGAACGAGTTTGAGGAATCTAGTCTATGATAATGCATCTAAAGAAAATGCACTTATATCCTTGAGTTTGTCTAGTACCGCTTGAATTTTCACCATAGTCCTTCTCTCATCAATGCTGACCAACTTATCCAAACCTGAGGCCAGAGATGGCGACCCTAGTCCATCAGTTGCGGCATCTGCCGCAATCGCTTCTAACCCTCCTCGAGCCTTTTGAACACGGTTGAGGTAATGTACTGCTGTTTGGAGAAGCATCTGGAGCCTCAGGTTGGGTGACGGTATCAGCTCCACTCCCGCGATGGAAATGAATAGCCCGTTCTCAGCGTCGCTCATCACACCGTCCTGCGCCGTGAAGTTGGCATCTCTTCTTTGCAGGCAGTGGTAAATCGATGAGTAGAGCCAGTAGTGCATCTCAATCAATCGTATAGACATAGCACAGACTTGCAAATAGACGGCCGTACCGATTGGAGGCGGATGCTCCGGTCCCTTGCAGTCTAGTGCAGCCAACTCGAGCTTTTGGACCAACTCAAGGAACTCTGAAGAGCTTTGCAGAATATGAGCGGCCTCAGTCCCAAGTTGAGAAGGTCCTAGATACGCCGTTGAACGCATTGGGCGAGCTATCTTTAGGTGGAAGTGCGCGAGGTGTTCCATCCAATTTCGATTGAAAGGTAGCAAGGCCGTCGCCCTCGGGATGGCTATGAGCGGGTTGGGGTCGGCTAGCACACCGAGATCGTCGCTAGCCGTGTGTATGGAACATCCCGCGGCTTCGGGGTTCCAATCCGACGAGCCGAAAGACTCGGTCATGTTAAGGTGCAGAAATGAGCTCGGGCTGCTTGGGAAAGCAAGGGGATGCCATTCCGCGACTGTCTGAGAGGACTCAGGTGGTATAGCCTCGAGACTAATAGACCCTTGAACTGCGCTACCATGTTCGTGAAGCGTCTTATGAGTCCATGCGCCTTCCACAATGGTATTGCCCAAACTTGGCCAACTTGCTGGTGTCTGATCTGCCGAGTTGTTGGTCTTGAAGGCTGGTCTTCCTGGCTTGCCGGATTCGCTGTAGTTGCAGACCACGTTGGCGTTTCGGCAACGAGCACATTGTATTCCGAACCCGTCCGTTTTGCATTGCATCTTCATTGCGTGGCATCGGTCACATGCAGACCTTGTTTTGGTAACATTCATCCTTTCCTACGAGCATTGACGGTGCCTGAGAAGAAAGAAAAAAGGCTAATGGACAGTACTATGTTGCCTGTTTGTTTCGTTTCAAGGATCTTTTGAGTGTTTTGTAATAGTTGAATGTGAAATTTAAGCTCTCGACGACGAGGTTCGCCAACCTGTGCAGGGAATCTCCTGCCTTTTAGCGCGTACTGTTGGTGCATGGGGTGAAAGATCCAACGACCGACACCCTCAGCAACGGGCCGTTCCCCTTAGATATGCAGATCGCTAGCATGTCGGTAGTCAATAGACCTAGAGAATTCTATTTCTGTATTCTGGTTCCGCTTGCGCGGCCTCGTTATGTTTGACCACGACATTGAGGCATAATGGCTGTGAAAGAGAGCCAAAGGCTGTTTTCTCCCATGCACTGTTTGCCACTGTCAAAATATTCTGCAGCGCGTTTCGCTCATGAAGTGTTCAGCCCATCGCTCTGGCGAACGGCTCTGAATGGGTGTGTGTGTGTGTCTTCGGGCAAGTACCTTTCTCCGTGATCAGTGCGCTTGCTGGTCGGGACAGAAACTACACAAGGCCCGCTGCATCCACGCATCGGTCCTGCGCCATGGTGTTCTCATGCAACTTTGTGTACATGGAGTAAGGTAGGCACTGAGGTCTGTTCAGCCCCTTGCCGCAGCAGTCTTTCGTCCTCCCTGCATGCGACTCGGGAAGGATCCGTCTCCGAAGATTCGCCCCCGAATCCTTCATCTTGGCAAGCGGCTCGTACTGTAACCTCACGTCGATAACAAGGAGCCCGCAGCATCATGCACCAACAGATACCACGAGGATGCCGGTTAAATTGTTTAGGCTGAATGCGAGTGGATACATCCTCCTGGGACCTGAAGTGATCATGTCATGTTTTCATGGTGAGCTATGTTGGTGCATATCGTCTTCCCCCACGTTGGTCTGACATCGTACATGTATCCAATGATACCTACCGAGATTGCATACCACACGGGCAGATATTCTGAGCACTCATAATGTGAGGCTTATGTGTTCGTTGTCCAGCATTAGGTGGTCTCCTCTTAGCGCCCGCACTCTTCAACCCCATATTGTATGGATGTAGCACGATCCGGGGTACCATACCCAGTTGGCCAGACACTAACGGATATGGTAGGTCTGCCGACGCGGCGACGCCCCCACCCATAACCCAGTGTAACTTGTTTGGACGTAGTTGAGCTTCGGTGGGAACAGACTTGACGAGCAGGCGGGCCAGCGGGGTTACATCTCAACTCCACCCTCGGACACAGGATCTCGACCGACTCGTACATACGCACATTGGACCTCCTATAACAGCTGATGATCGGTTCGTGTTGTTATCAGGTATTGGGCCGATTCCATATTTACCCTACATGATATTACTTTGTTGCGATTCAATACGTGATCAAAAGTATCGTGGACCATGGAGAACAGCTCGAGGGACGAGGATAGGCATGGTAGATATGGATAGGTACTCGTGGTAATGCTGCAAGCAGTTGGACTGGACTCAATAGGGGCCTAGCGGGAATTAAGCGGGAAGAACCCGGTATCCCGTCGGGCCTGGGAGAGAAATTGAACATTTGAACCTCAGGCGAGGCACAGAGGGAGGATACCCCAGATACTGCGACCAACGGGCTGTGCCGCTATTTGCATCATTCGGTCATCTGTCCACCTCACGTTCATAGGTCGAGACTGCCACAGTGCCAAGAGGGAACATCTTAGCCTGATTAGCATGGATCACACCGCCCGGCTATCCAACGAACCAGATTTTGTGCTCCAGACGGTCACCCCAACAAGTTCGTATTTATTGAGCAAGCAGATCTACTCCTCCTCGACTCAAGAACTTACAATCACTGTTTCTCAAAATCTCAGAAAGTCCCGTTGGTCTTGACGACGACTCTTTCAGAAACCCTTCTCGACAAGAAAATGACGACCGATCCTACGAAGTCGTCTCCGCCCGTTGAAGCAACAGCGAATCAACTCGAGAACCAACAGAACGAGGGAGAGCAGCAGACTACGGCCCACATGCAAGGATGGGCTCTTGCTTCTCTGACCATTGCCTTCATGGCTATTTGCTTCGTTCTGGCACTGGATAATACTATCTTGGGTCCGTAAACACTCTCCCAACCACGATAAATGACCGAAACCTTGCCTAACATAACGCACAACAAGCGACCGCTATACCTCAGATCACAAGCGACTTCCACAGCCTAAACGATATCGGCTGGTATGGATCCTCTTATCTGATAGCTCAAATGGCAATGTTACCGACCTGCGGCCGACTTTATGCGTTTTACAACATAAAATGGGTGTACTGCACGTCCCTTGTCGTCTTCGAACTCGGCTCGGTCATCTCAGCCGTCGCGCCAAATTCAATAACCCTCATAGTGGGAAGAGCCATTTCTGGCGTAGGCGCTGCCGGGCTGGTGAGTGGGACTACCACTATACTGTCTTACTGCGTCCCCTTGAAGAAGCAGGCAAAGTTGTCACCGGTTATCTTGGGTCTGTACAGCACCGGATCGGCGATAGGGCCGCTTGTTGGTGGCGCCATAACTGATAGCAAGACTCTTACATGGCGATTCATCTTTTGGCTCAACCTCCGTAAGTTGACCGCCCGCTATTTTCTCAATAGTCCTCAGCTGACGGACCTTAGCCTTTGGAGCTGTCGGACTAGCTCTGATATGGTTCAGCTTGAGGAACCCTCCACCTGCTGTCAAGGAAGGATTGCCGTGGCAGGATAAGTTACGCCAACTCGACATGCTCGGCGCTATTATACTTCTCGGTGCAACATCATGTCTGAACCTGGCTTTACAGTGGGGAGGAATTGTTCATCCGTGGTCAGACCCGAAAGTCTTTGGCTGCCTCATCGGATCCGGCTTGCTGCTGCTTTGTTTCGTGGGTTTGCAAGCTCGGGGCAAAGAGACGTAAGTTACCAGTGTAAACCGGTCCAAGAGACCTTTGCTTTGCATCCGATTGCATACTGACGCTCACTACCTCAGCGCCACTGTTCCTCTCCGTATATTGCGGGGCCGAACCGTCGTGGCATCATGTGGGTTCATGATGCTCGTACAAGTGGCCATCGTGCTCAACTCATACTACTGGCCAATCTATTTCCAGTCCGTGAGAAATAATAGCGCCAGAGACTCAGGTATATTTTTATTGCCCATCATCGTGTCCAATAGTCTTGGCACAATCTGTGCTGGATGGATTTCGTCGCGGTTTGGACACTATGTTCCTTTAATGTGGATTGGTGCCCCAATTCAGGCTATCGGAGGCGGCCTCTACCAGCTTATAAATCCTCACAGTCCACGCGGTCAATGGATCGGAACCCAAATCGCATCCGGAGTCGGTTACGGCATGTGTAGCCAAATGCCAATCCTTGCTGTTCAGGTGGTCCTCAAGAAGGCAGATGTGCCAACGGGCCTCGTGATCATTATGTTCTTCCAGATGCTGGGCGGGGCTTTGGCTCCTAGTATCGGGCAGAATCTATTCACAGATGCATTACTACGGCGTCTTACTCGGGTTGATGGAATCGATGCTGCGGCTGTGGTGGAAGTTGGTGCAGGGGAATTCAGGAAGATTGTCCCCCCGCAGGCCCTGGATGCTGTCGTTGAGGCGTTCAATTCTGCCTTGAAGAACGTTTTTTGGGTTGCTCTTGCTACCCCAGCCCTAGCTTGGTTGGTGAGCTGGGGCATGGAGTGGCGACAGATACCTGACACCAAGCGTCCGACTACTGAAGCCTCAGCCGAAGAAGTTTCGGAGAAGTAATTTCACAAGAATCCATAGCTCTGCGTCTTGTACTGAGCATCTTGCCCTAGTTCAGTCTGGACTCGGGATATGTGTCTGAAAGCCCCGTTGGCAAGTTGGGTACCCTGAGGATGGTCCGACGCATATATGCATGTAATAAAGAGTAATTTATAGAGAAGTACACATAAGCCGCCGACTTTTCATCTATGAAGGAAGAGTTCAATCGTGATTGCGGCGAAGAAATGAAATAATAGATCATCAAAAGGTAAGTCAACTTCTATTTACATCCTCATCGGATTATTTCATCTCTTGAATGTCTGCTACTCTTGTTAACCAGCTATCGTTGTTCATCGTGAAGTAGACATAGATGTCCACGACAGGACCAAACAGATCCATAACGATGAATCCCCACCATTGACGGCCGCAGTAGGGGTACTTTTTGAGGAAGGATTTGTAAGACGAAACCCATCCGCCCCAGCCACCTATCACCCAAGCCAAGAATGCAAATCTATCGTGAATAGCCAGTCAGAAGGGTACTGCGTCATGGGAGGTGTTCGAAGATGGTTAATAAGCTCACGCAATCCAAGGTACTGTGCTCAGAGTCTGAAGCCAAGCCCATAGGTACATTAAGGCCTAAATTGGTCGAGCGAGCCGCTCGATCATCTTGAAAGTAGTGTATGGATGCCTCCTGACAATATTGAATCAGCCTAGAAACACTCGACGGGCCATTTGTCACGCTTACCGCATCAGTTTTGGGAGTCCTGGGTGGACGAAGATGTATCCGAGAAACGTACGAAAGTTTCCTCTGTCCCAACGAAGAATCTGCAAGGCAAACTTATGGTCCTCAGGAATATTGGTGGTGATCTCCGCTTCGGGAACGTTTTGAATGAAGACCTCCCATCCGCTATCGAACACCCAACCGGTCAGGACAACGTCATCCGCAGTGTTCACCAACTTATGGCCAATAATCTCGTGGGTGTAGGTATTAACAAAAGATGGATCTTGTAGGATAGAAGCGCGGATGAGTAGCGTTCGAGCGGACAAACACCAGCAGCCTCCGTCGGCAGCAAAGTGTACCTCGCGAGAACCCTTCCACTGGCATAGGTCATACGTCGAAGTGGCTTCCCATACCGTTATAACGTTTGGATCTTGGCGATCAGTACGGATCTCAGCACTGTCTTATTAATTAGCTCTCAACTACATTCTGGTTTCACTCTGATCGACTAGCGAGGGTTTTCAGACCTCTGTATGCCAGCAACTGCGCCGACCTTGGCATTCTCAAAAGGTGCCAAGAGATATGGGAGCACACCTGCAGCCCGCCAGTACACGTCGTCGTCCACCAAGGCGAGGATACTACCTCGAGCAGCCTTGACACCCACAACCAGCTGCACTCGTTTGTTGGCTAATGGCGCACAGAGGATGACAATCTTGTCAGCATCCTCTTTGAGAGGCTCCAATAGTCGCACGATGCGGTCTCTATTTCGTTCAACTGTCACGATGATGACTTCTCGTGGCTTTGACTTCAGCCAGAGACGCATACATTCCGTAAATGTCGACTCAGTATCGATTGTCGGAACTATGATGCTGACATCCGCCGGACTGTAGCTCGGCTCCTTGGGTAAGGGTGCAGGTTTGTACTTGCTGGAATAATAAGAAATGACTGCTTTGTCGTAGACACTCCACGCCCTGCGTTAGGAATTGGTTATTTCCCTGAATCAGCGTTTGAGGGAGCGCGGACATTTACCACAAAGCGCCAAGAGCCAATGCCATCTCGAGATCCAATGGACTGTTAGAAGTCAATGATAATTAAAGAGACAAGATCGAGTCTAACTGAAGATAAGAATCCCACAGGATAGCTCAATTCACATGAACATGAAAGCCAAGAAGATGGATCTGAGAGAACTTGAAGGACCGGGTCGAGATGTTATACTGATCGTGGACCTAAAGGATAGAAATCATCATCGCAGATCTAATCTCTTGATGCAACTACCAAAGGCTGTAGTAATGACAGAGAAAACGAAACAGTGCCATGCTGTTACTTGCTAAGTGCATTGGAGAATATTGGGATTAGCCGAGAAAGTGGCATACAAACACGGAAAAGCGGATGTGGATTGCAGACGTCGGACGTCGGCCTCCTCTCATTCCCTTGAAATTGAAGGGCCCCAATGGGTTTCCAAGGTTCCTTAGTTCCCGGGACTGATTCCCGTGTCGCCTCCCGCTCTTAGCATTATCAACCCGCATGTGGCAACACCAAAACGACCCAACATACTCTGTACATATGTTACTTACGTCTGCATGTTCATGCAGATAAGTAACTCAAATCCTCTCCATCTTAATTTCTGGGCGTAGTTGCCCCCGCATTCGCCAATGGGACCGCTCCCCTTGACGCTCCAATGTCGTAGGGCCCCATATATTGCGTCCTCCCAGTCAACACACCAAGGTGGGGGGCCTATCTCTTCACCGGCATCGTTCTGTTACATTCCGGTAACATTCTTCCAACCTCTATACATGTGTAAGTCAAATAGTCTGCTGCCCACCGGCGGCGCAGTTGGCCTTCCTGGGGTGTTGGAAGGGGGCTATTGCATAAGAAAGCCTGGTCCGGCGATTTTAAATGAAAGAACCCTCGTTCGGTGGATAACGAAGTACCCTTGTCCGGCGATTTATCAGATGATCGTGAAAACCACTCTTTGCTGGATGGAGGAATCGACCTGCTAGTTCTTTCTGTAGATCGCGAGGACCGGAACTCGCAGGCGACAACAGAGCAAAGCTAACGCAAGCTGGAGGGTTCTCTGCAGTCTAGCCCTCGTCTCTGTCATGGTCGACAGGTACGCAGTGCTTCGATCGTTGATGCTCTGTGGATCAACGACCTCAGTCATACGATGAGGCCAATTCATGCCCATTGGACGCCGCCGAAGCTGTGTGTCACTGAATGTGCCCAGCCGGAAACTTGTGTTGGCATTGTGACTAGGTGGCATCGAGATTTGACAGACGTCTTAGAAATAAAGTGTTGCTACCGGCGTAAACGCAGAAACACAATTATGTCCAGAACTCTCGGCAAGTAAAAACGCCATCCAAAATTTGCGCAAGATTTTACACATCAAAGCTCCTATTCGAAATAATGCAGTCAATCGGAAGCCCAATCGCTATCATCGGCGTGGGCTGTAGGCTTCCCGGAGGAGCCAGTGACCTGGAAAAACTATGGCAGCTGCTCTCGGAAGGGCGCAGCGGCCGAACAAAAATTCCAAAAGATCGATGGCATGCAGACGAGTGGTTTGATCCGTACCCGGAGGCAAAGCAGTCTGTCGTGACGAAGCATGGCTTCTTTGTTCAGGACGACATCTCGTTATTTGACGCAAAGTTCTTCGGCATCTCTAGCACCGAAGCACACTCCATGGATCCGCAGCAGCGACTGTTCTTGATGACGACTTACGAAGCCTTGGAAGACGCCTGCATTCCCATTGATAGCCTACGAGGATCCAACACTGGTGTCTATGCGAGCATCTTCGAAAGGAGCTATGACCGCATGGGACACAAAGATCCGTCCACCATCAGCAGGACTCATCTCAACGGCACAGGAGAATCGAGTGAGTCATATCCAATGAATCTAGCTGATCATTCGATGCTAAATTATCTATAGTTCTCTCAAACAGGGTTTCATACTGTTTTGATCTTAAGGGGCCGTGCATGACTATCGATACAGGCTGTGTAAATCATACCTCCCGAGATCTTATTGAGTTTTAGCTGACTGAAAAACATTCAGTCTGGAAGTTTGGTTGCTCTTCATCAAGCTTGCCAGAGTCTCAAGCTAGGAGAAACCGATCTGGCATTGGTTGGCAGCTCTCAGCTCGTAATCCATCCCGATGTTCTTGCAATCAGTGAGTGTCCTGAATAAGAATACAGTTGGAACATTGCCTTTACCGCTTGTACTCGGTTACAATTTTATTGGTCCCCAAACTAACGACGAATAATTAAGTGAGTGGGATGGGCATGCTGAACCCGGACGGCAAGTCGTATGCCTTCGACTCCCGAGGTGACGGATACGGTCGTGGTGAGGGTGTAGCAACGATCGTTCTGAAACGGCTGGACCGCGCGCTCCAAGATGGGTGAATTCTTATGTTCCTAACTCTTTCATATATCAAACTTTGGCTGATGGCAAGTTCAGGGATCGAGTTCACGCGATTATTGCAAATTCCGGCTTGAATCAGGACGGCAAGACGTCTGGCCTGAATACGCCTAGCGGGGACGCGCAAGCCTCGCTGTCGTCGCGCGTATATCGTGAGGCTGGTTTGAACCCTGCGGATACGGCATACGTAGAAGCTCATGGAACTGTAAGGAGCCCTGGTCCTGATGTGCCACTTCAAAACACTAACCACGGAATGGATAGGGAACTCAAGTCGGTGACCGAGAGGAGATTGCGTCAATTTCCAAGGTTTTCTGCGAAGATGTCGGTCGACAGGATGATCTTTATGTCGGCTCAGTGAAGACAAATGTTGGCCATCTGGAGGCGGCTTCTGGCATGGCTGGCTTGCTCAAAAGTATTCTCATACTCAAGCACGGCAAGATTCCGCCCAATCTAGACTTCATCAAACCGAAACCGTCGCTCAAGCTATACGAGAAAAAGATTACGGTGCGTTCAAATGAGCATGATTACCCTGCGTTGATATGTTCCAGCTGACCTTCCTTAGATCCCAACAGAGCTTACGCCGCTCCCATCTCCTCGCAACGGCGCCCCAGCACGAGTTTCCCTGAACTCTTTCGGCTACGGGGGAACCAACTGTCACGTAATTTTGGAAGCTGCCGAATCAAAAAGTAAACCAAATGGTGTCAGCCAAAAACCGAATGGCGTGACGGGCAACGGTACCACGTCAAATGGACCCAACGGTGTCGCGACTAACGGGAAGACCTCCAACCACAATCACGAAAGCGAGGCGCCGAATTCACCGCAGCTTTTCCTGTTGAGCGCATCCACTGAGAAGGCACTTTCAACCCGGGCACAAGACCTTGTTCAATGGCTCAAAACTCATGATTTGGGGCCTCGGACGTTGCGTAGTCTTTCCTACACGCTCGCCCTACACAAGTCCGCTCTATCGTGCAGAAAGGCCATCGTTGCGTCGAATCCAGAGCAGCTGACAGCGGAGTTGGAAGCTCCAATGCCAGAAAAGAAGATCAAACCGTCAGCACCGATTACTTTCGTCTTCTCTGGCCAAGGGGCACAATGGCATGCAATGGGCCTCGAGCTGGCTAGGTCCTCATATGTTTTCAAACAGTCCATGTCGGCCATGGACGAAACCTTGCGTTCACAGGGCTGCCGATGGAGTCTTCTCGAGGAATTATCGAGACCTTCCAATACTTCGCGTGTTGGTGAGGCGGAGCTGGCACAGCCCTGCACTACTGCCATCCAGATTGCGCTCGTTGACTTGCTTGAGAGCCTTGCGATTCGACCGAGTCGGGTAGTGGGTCACAGTTCAGGTGAAATCGCGGCCGCATACGCCAGTGGTGCGTTGAGCCGGGACGGCGCTCTTCTCCTGTGAGTTTCATGATTGCATGCGTGGATTGATGCAGTGAAGTCCCAAGCTAATAGTCAACAGGGCATATCATCGCGGTCTGACTTCGGCTAAGGCTAAACAAATGGCTGATACCGGCGGCGCTATGATGGCAGTCAATCTCAGCGAGAGTCAAGCCGTACAATACTTGAAGAGAGCTACCAGCGGAAAAGTTGTCGTAGCATGTGTAAACAGTCCAACGAGCCTGACCCTTTCTGGCGACGAAGGCGCTGTTGACGAGATCAAGTCTGCGCTCGACCAAGAGGGCATCTTTGCTCGGAAGCTCAAAGTCGACACAGCGTATCACTCGCATCACATGCAGCGTGTTGCCGATCATTATCAGCAGGCAATCGGCGAAATTCGGTCGGGACAAGTGCGCGACGGTGTTGTTTTCTACTCCAGCGTCACAGGCGCCGTCAAGACAACTGATTTTGGTGCCAGCTACTGGACCTCGAATCTAGTTTCGCAGGTAAAGTTTAGCCAGGCCCTGATTTTGCTGCGAAACGATCAGTCAAAGCAAGAAACGAACATGGATGTCAGCGTGTTTGTTGAGATTGGACCGCACTCCGCTCTGGCGGGCCCTTGTCGACAGACACTCACGCATGAGGGAACAACAGCCGACAAATTCAAGTTCGAATATCTTTCTGTTCTCTCGCGAAATATCGACGCTGTACAAACCACCCTTACGTTTCTCGGCAGGGCGTTCGAGATCGGGCTTGGAATCGACATGGTCGCGGTGTTATCTGTCATAGATAACGCGGCAAAGCCAGACGTAGTCAGAGATTTGAAGCCGTATCCCTGGGACCTGGTGCCATTTTGGCGCGAATCTAGGTTGAGTAAGACTCACCGCTTTCGTCAATTCCCCCATCACGATCTTCTTGGTTTATTGGACCCGACCAGCACCATTCACGAGCCGCGTTGGCGTTACTTTCTCAACCTGGATGCTTTACCATGGCTGCGTGACCATGTTGTTGAGGGCTTCATGATTTACCCAGGCGCGGGCTACTTGACCATGGCTATGGAGGCAATGAAGCAGCTCTCAGAGATGAGAGGCATCTCAAAGCCAATTGCCAAATTCGTCCTTCGCGACGTGGATATCCCGAAGGCTATTGTCTTGAGCGAGCCTGAAGACGGTAGTACCAGTGAGGTCGAAGTTCAGCTCAGCATGTCCGCCGTACAGCAGCATGAGACCAGCGGGTGGCAATCCTTCCGCGTCTGGTCGTATGGAAAAGATGACACGTGGACTGAGCATTGCGTTGGCGAAATCATGATCGTGTACGAGAAGGAAGAGCACGACGATGTTGAAGGCACAAGAGAAGTTGACTTACTCCAACAAGAGGCTCTTGATTTCCTAAACACGGCCAAACAAGATTGTGACACCGACATGACCAAGTCCGATTTCTATGGCTTTGCCAGTCTGAGCGGAAACGAGTTCAGGGGAGCCTTCGCGTCGATTGTGTCTGCAAGGCACGGAAACAGGCGCGGGGTCTTTGAAATCTGCACCCCGGACATTGCTTCCGTGATGCCTCATCGCTTCTTCCGGCCTCACTTCATTCATCCAACCACCTTGGACGCTGCTCAGCAAATCAACGGCATTTTGTTCAAGAAGTTCATCTCGAACGCGACATGCGTGCCGACAAAGCTTCCCTTCCTGGAGATCAGCGGAAAGATGTCGACCAAGGCAGGAGACAGCTTGACTGGCGCGATGCAGATTGAAGCCGATGGACCGCAAACATCTAAGGGAGCAGGATGGGTTTTCCAAAAGGATGCTGATGGGCATCTTACACCCGTCATTCGACTTGCCATCAACTTACGCGCCATAAGTGAGGCACATATCGACGAGGATCGGCCTTTCGTTCAGGACAAGGTTAACCGACTAGATTGGAACTTCGACGTTGACTTTTTGACTGGCTCGTCATTTCTCTACGTGCTTTCGTCCACCCTTGGACTCGATGAGAACACAACGTACGGATACCACGGCACAAAGGTCTCGGTGGAAGAGGCTCGACATGGGTATCTCACTGCTGACCGTGCTTCTACAATCTGGATACGGGAGGCAGTGCGCCGTGTCGAGACCGCCGATGCCGGTACGGTGCCATCTCAGCTGGTCAAGTTCTTTGAATGGATGAAGAAATGGCTGGCATCTGAGTACTGCCGTGAGATCATGATGGATATCAATTCGGAAGACGAGAGTCGTACATTGCACGATGTTGAGTCATCCACCAGTTCCGCCGAGCTTCAGCTTCTCGCTCGCGTGGGGAAGGCTCTTCCAGGTATCGTGAGTGGCGCGGTAGAGCCCTTGGACGTCATGCTCGAAGACAACCTTTTGTCCAAGAATTACGAGAGTGGCACTTTTACTGGGGACTATCAGGCAGCAGTGGCATATCTCAGGCTTCTGACCTTCAAGAACCCGCGCCTCAGAGTCATCGAGATTGGCGCAGGGACCGGAGGCTGCACGAAATGGCTCTTCGACGGTCTTTCAGGCCAAAACGGCGCAGTGGGTCTTCCAGTCGACAAGTATACTTTCACAGACATCTCAAGTGGTTTCTTCGAGGAAGCGCGGGAGACGTTCGCCCAATGGGAAGACGTCATTGAGTTCAGAACTCTCGACGCGGACGCAGATCCTGTTGAGCAAGGGTTCGAGTCCGAGTCGTACGATGTGGTAGTAGCGGCCAATGTGCTCCACGCTACAAGGAAGATTGATTTGACAACTAGTCGCGTACGAAAGCTGCTCAAGCCGGGCGGTAGTCTCGTTCTTCTCGAAATCTCGCCTAGGGGAGCAGCTGTTGGTCTCGTAGCTGGCACCCTGACGGGATGGTGGGCGCACGAGGACGAGTTCCGCGTTGACACCCCTCTACTGCATCGCGAGCAATGGGCAGAAGTCCTGTCTCGAAATGGCTTTGGTGGTATCCATCTCGCGCGAGGATGTATGATGGTAGCCAAGGCTGTACCTTCTACGCCTAATGGAGCTCTGGCTAGACATGACGCCATTCTGCTTGAGAACTGCGCGGATGACAGACTTGATTCCATAGTCAAGGGATTTGCCTCACATGCCATCGACATCGTAGAGCGTGGTTGGGACCAAGTTGACGTCGAGAAGGACTCGGAAAGCCCCTACTTGGTTCTTGACAGTGCTGTCCAGCCACTACTCCTCGAGCCATCACCACAACTTTTCAAGTCTATCAATACTCTTCTCGCCGCCAAACGCAGAGTATTATGGGTTGTTGTGCAAGACAAAGCCGATCCGGCCGTCTCGGCGTACATCGGGGTGGTCAACACGCTAATCCGCGTCCTCCGCCGTGAGAGCGGTAACAATGGCCTCATCACGCTGGACGTCCGGTACCCGATTCCATGTCCAGATGAGACGGCAAGACTCATCGCCGATGTGGCACAAAGATGCTTTTGGCCGCCCGTCGAGACTCAGAAATCTCTTGAGCCTGAGTTCGCCTACGAGAACGGTCGAGTTCTGATACCTCGCGTAAAGCCGGATGCCGAATTCCTCAGGTGGGCGCGCAGTGGTACAACACCTGATGCCGTGGTAGAGCCAGTTACCATTCCCTACCAGGGCGACCGAGTCCTCAAGGCCGAGTTTGCGACGCCAGGCCTTCTAAGCTCCCTACGCTTTGTGGACCATATTGACGACTCACACAATCTCCCACAAACTCAGATTGTGGTTGAAGCCCAAGCCCACGGCATAAATTACAAGGACGTCTGCGTGGCTCTCGGACAATTGAGTCCTGGCACACAGATGGTTGGAGAATTCGCCGGCATCGTGACAGCAGTGTCTGAAGATATGCTCGATGTGCACAAAGTTGGCGATCGAGTCATGGGGTTCGGTGCGCAACCGTTCAGTAACCTGCCAGTCGCTCACGGATTTCTCGCTCATAAGATCCCCGACTGGATGTCTTCCACAACAGCAGCGTCTCTTCCGCATGCATTCGCTACCGCTTATCACTGTGTCACAAATATCGCACGTCTCAAGAGTGGACAGTCGATTCTCATTCACGGTGCGTCAGGAGCCGTTGGCCAAGCCGCCATTCAGCTTGCACAGCATCTAGGAGCAACTGCCTTTTGTAGCGTGAGTACCGCTGCAAAGAAACAGCTCCTGGTCCATGAGTACGGTATTCCGGATAGCCACATATTCTCTAGTCACGCTGGGTCGTTTAAGCAGGGTATCATGCGACTCACCCACGGCGAAGGTGTGGATCTGATCCTCAACTCGTCAACAGGAGAGTCACTGAGAGATAGTGTCGACTGCGTCAAGAGACTGGGAACATTCGTCGAGCTGAGTAGGAGTGCAATTCAACAAGGCTCCTTGTTGAATATGACCGCTTTCAGCAGGTCTATCACCTTTGTTGCTTTTGATATGACGACCGTTTCGGCGCAGGAACCCGAAACAATCCATCGTGTTTTGGGAGACGTGGTCAATTTATTTGAGCGCAAGGTTCTGCGACCCATTCAGCCCATCACCATTTACCCCATCGACCAAATCGATGAAGCATTCCGTTTCTTGAGCTCAAGAAAGCACACTGGCAAGGTTGTCCTCACCATCGAACCCTCTTCCAGGGTCAACGGTCTTCCGCCTAAGCCCTTGCCGTTGCAACTACGTCAGGATGGCACATATGTCGTGGCTGGGGGCCTGGGTGATCTTCCCTCCCGAATTTGCATTTTCTTGGCTGCACGTGGGGCCGGCCACATTGTGTCTCTTTCTCGGCGCTCCATTGATGATGAGACAAGGGAGAAGTACACAACGGCTGTTCAGAAACACGGAGGAGAGCTTCATATCCTCCAATGCGATATTACGAACGACGAGAGCATGGCGCGCGCCGCTTCTTACTGCTCGGCATTACCTCCTGTCAGGGGCGTAGTCCACGGCGCTATGATACTCAAGGTAAGCTATTGAGCGCTGAGCTCGTACTTTCGACTTGACACATTACATGGTCTTCTAACACAATAACTAGGACCGGACTTTCTCCCAGATGACCGTCGAGGAGTGGTCGAAACCGCTGTTGCCCAAGGTCTTCGGTACCATCAACCTCGACAAGTCTTTCGCTTCTCCGGATTTGTCCTTCTTCATAACGCTCTCGTCTATTGTTGCTGTTGTTGGCAAGTCTGGTCAATCCAACTATGCCGCCGGGAATGGTTTCCAGGACGCTTTTGCCCATGCTCACGCGAACCATCCTCATACGCACTACGTGTCAGTCAATATCGGCGTCGTTTCGGTCGATGCACACGGTGCCCTGAAGGAATCGGAGAAGGGAGATACCTCTATCAGCAGCATGAGAGCAGGTCTGCGCCAGAACAGTGTCATGGACATCTCTTTTGACGAATTCTTCGCCGATATCGAGTACGCCATGACGCATCTTGCGAGAGAAAGCAAGCTCCATCAAACGATCCAAGGGGTTACCCACCAGTCCATGCTCGATGTTAACGACGAGCACCTCCTGGACAACCCCGTCTTCAGCCAGTTGACCCGTACTCAGGAGAAGCAGGCTACGGGCACCGCACGCGCGGACAAGATCGATTTCGGGAAGGCATTGGGCAGTGTCAAGACGATGGCAGAGGCCGAAACCCTCATCCGCAACGCGACGTTGACCAAGTTCGCTGTCTTTCTCGACCGACCTATTGATGACATCAAAGTTGACCAGTCGCTATCCAGCATTGGCCTCGACTCTCTTGTCAGTATTGAGCTGAAGAATTGGATGGTGCGCACATTCCAAGTCAATCTTCAGACGTCCGAGCTAGGTGGCGGTGGCAGTATTATGGCTCTGACTGCAATCGTTGCTTCACGATCTAAGTTGATACCTGAAGAGATGCGTCGGATGAGTCTGGCGAAGAGCGACGAGCTCTCATTACATACGTCACCTACGATTGAGCTTGAGTCAAACAAAGAAACTGGTCACGGCTTTTACTGTTGCAGGAGCGTGAAGGAGCTCCCAAGATATCCGCTTGTCGACCTTGATGAAGCAGTCGAGGACCTCCTTAACAACATCGGTCACTTCTCCCTCAACCGAGAAGAGTATTCTGAGCTTAGTCGCAAGGCTCATGCTTTGGTTGGACCCAACAGTATCGGTCGTAAGCTTTACAATCAGCTGCGTATCAAGGCCGAGGATCCGACAGTCGAGAGTTGGATCGCTGAGCCCTTGTTGAAGGCACTGCACATCAAGCGTAGATATCCTTTGGCCCCATACAGCAATTTTCTCGGCACCCACTTTGATAGCACCACCACGCACTCCCAAGCTGAGCGAGCGGCTGCGCTCACCAGGGCAGTATGCGAGTTCAAACGTGATCGCGACAACGGCAACCTGGAGCCTGACTACCTAGGGGAGAAGGCGAATTGCGGCAATTCCCTGTTGTGGTTGTTCAACGCCTTAAGGGAGCCAAATTTAGGCTGCGATAAGATGTTGAAGTACCCGGGCAACGAGTACGTAGCTGTTCTTCGGAGAGGTCACCTCTTCAAAGTTGTCCTGCAGCAGGGAGATGACATCGTGTCGTATCAACATCTAAGGGCAGTATTTGGGGCTATCCTAGGCCTGACCCTTGAGGAGAAGAGATGGACGGGCATGCTGACCACGGACAATCGTGACGAATGGGCTACGGTAGGCACATGCGTTCATCACATCCGACATCTCTATCGACGAGCTAACTTAGATATCTACAGAATCGACGGGAGTTGCTTTCGTACGACGAGAGAAATACGTCATATCTCGACACGATAGAGAAGTCCGTCTTTGTCCTGTGCCTGGATGACAGCACCCCAGTGACGCGTGAGGAGCGCATCCGCTATGGATATCTCGGAGACTCCTTCAACCGTTGGCACGACAAGAGCTTCCAGATCTTGGTCACTGCTAATGGTCGCTCTGGAAGCATATTTGAACATTCAATGATTGACTTTATGACAATCTCGCAACTCTCTAAGCGCCTGCAGAATGCGATCGACACTCTTGGGCACGATGACGACGATATGGACCAAAGGAGCCAGGGCATTCACACCGCCAGCCTCGAGGAGATCCCTCTTTTCACAACTGCAGAGATCGAGGGCCAGATCGAGACGCTCCGCGAGAAATACTCAGCTGTCACGAGTGTGAAGCAATACACACCACACCTCATCACTTCTTTTGGAAAATCGATTTTCCTCGAACATTCAGCACCTATCAAAGCTACAGTCGACCTGACAATTCAGCTGGCAAGCCGTCTGTACTTTGGTTATCTCCCTGCTAGCTGGGAAACGGTTTCGACAGCGCATTTCCACCTCGGCCGCCCGGAAATTGTGCAGGTGGTTCTGAAATCAGTCGTCGAATTCTGCGATGCTGCGTTGGACAGCACTGTGCCGCGCGCTGAGGCAAGGAACAAGCTGCTACAGGCGGCAAGAGAGTGCAATGCGCAAATTGTTAAAGGCAGTGAAGGCCGCAACTACTTCCGACTCATGGACGTGCTTGAGATGATGAGTGAGGAGCAGGAGCCCAACGATGTCCCAGAGCTCTTCTCTGATCCAGTATGGAAGAGGAGCGGTCCACGACTGATCATGCAGACGATGATCGAGACTAAGCTGGCTGAAGATCCTGGTTACACGATGGAGGACCCGGATAATGTGTGGATGAATTACACGGTGAACGATGACTCGTAAGTATCACATTCTTCCATTTCTTATCCTCAAAAGCAGCTCATTTCTAACTTCATCTCAAGTGTGGAGGTTTGTTTTGTCAGTCCAAGGAAGGGTGCGGAAAGATTTCAGGCTGCCTTGGATCGCGCATCAGACATCGTCAAGAGCATCATCCAAGCAAGGTAGCGGGAGAACTTGAGCCTGATTTTTGGATATAGATCGTAATCATGATGTTCTTGTACAAAATGAACCATGGTACTCTTCGATCCCATCTTCCTTTAATGTATCTGACTTTCTCTGCCTTCGCGAGGCAGATGTAATAATGTGCAAGATGTTTGATACTACCTTAAGATGCTTAGCCCTAAGAGACAATGCTATTGGCGCCGCAACCCCACTGCCGCCGACAGAGTCATTTAGGAGTAAGGCAAATAGAATCATGCTTCTAAGTACTAAATTATTATTTCAAGTGTGTATGCGTTAAGGTTTTCAGGTCATAAGGTCTCCCCCCCCTCCCCCCTCTGCTTCCATGTCCCATTTCCTATTCTCATACTGCAACATCAATAGGCCTGAAAAGCCGAAGTTGCAGAATACATGCCCTGTGACCGGCCTGGTTGACTCAGCATCAGACGACGTACTATCGAGAATAGCCTTCGTGCTGTCGGGTATTAACATCCAAGCAAGAAAACCACTTCTGATGCCGAAAGTTTCGAGGGAAAATGTCCTGATGATAATGGGAACCCCAATGCAAGTGTTATTTCGACATAATCCCATTGTCCCCATTTTACCTACTTTAAATAAATACATGTGAGGTATTCTCAGTGACGGCCATGGAAACATACAACGATTTGGGTCTGCTGATACTTGTATACTTCTACATCGATCCACACTAGAAAACTTTGACGAGGGCCTTCCTCGAGGTTATATTGAATGGAATCACACAATATGCTGAGAATGCTTGGTTCGAGCTACTAATAAATTGTACCAAACATGTATCTTTCCGTTCCCGTTACCCCGCGTTTAAGTTGCAGGATGCAGCATTGGCGCCGTGTGGAGATTCTGCCGGCCTGCCGGTGCTCCACTTTGAACCGGTTACCAACAGATTCTTCATGTTGTTCTTCGTTTCTCAACCGCCCTTCCACATAGGTACCTAGGCATCTTCGCGTGGCTTATACTATTTATTTTCGCTTCATGTTTGAGCCATGGCTTGCAAGGCATGCCGCACGAAGAAAATCAAGTGCGACCGCGTCCGACCCGTCTGCCAAAACTGCAGACAACGAGCCAGTCACTGTTCATACGCCGGCGAGCGACGGGTACGTCGCTGGACGGAAGCCGACGCTGACAACAGACGTCTTTCCACCTCTCAGAATGACCAAAGCCCGAGTGTCATCGACCTGGGCCAGCGTTTCTTGCCGAGACAGCCCGATGCCGGCGCCGCTGCGTGCCATGTTAAACAAGGGCTGTGCGTCCAGTCTACCACCGGCTCAACACACCGCATGCCGGATGGAACGGCGCAGAATGACGCCGCATCAGACTTTCTGGACTGGAGCGTCACCATCGCCGCTCCTGCCGCTCAGTCTGACTGGCAGACCATGGATTCCAACTCCATGGCTAGCCTCTTTGCTCAGATGGCCCGCGACAGCGAGGTCATCCTCCAAACTCCAGCCGACTCCACCATTACCCAAGGTGAAAGTCTACTTGATAGAATCCTTGACGGTGATGAGGACTTGGAGAGCCTCAAAGACGCCAGCCCGGCCTTGTGGGGCCGAACCACCGACGGTGACGAATACACCGGCCCCTCCTCCGGCATCTCAACCGTTTCCGACCTTGGTCTGAACTGGATTCGAGAAAGAGTGCCCGACTCGGATCTCCTTTGTGAGACAATTCAGGACATACGAAACGCCATTCTCATCCATATTCGCCAGCCGAAGTGCATCACGCAGGACTTGACACTCGCGCCATCAACATCTCGGATTCTAGCCATCTCTCGGCCGCAGCTACTTGAGTATATCGATGCCTATTTCACGGAGGTTCAAGTTGTCTTCCCCATCCTGGACCGTGATACCTTTGACGTCCAACTGGCTGAAATGGGAGATGGTTCTGATATTGTTCAAAAGCCGTCTTGGTTGGCACTGTTGAACGTAGTGGTGGCTTCGGGGCTTCGAGCCTCACTCTCCGATGAGACTTCCGAGGCTTTTCGAACATCTGTTTCTGAGGCATGGGGATACTTCCGATCAGCTCTATCCTACGAGTCCCAGATCGTTCACGGTGCCACCGACCTATTAGCTGTGCAAGCAGTGGCTTTGATGGCTGTCTTTGCGCAAGGGCTGTCCAGTCCCCAGAGGCTCGAATATACTCTCTCCTCGGTCGCTTTACGGTTAGCCCAGAGCATTGGACTCAACTGCGCCCCGCCTCCCGAATGGAGTCTCTCTGATGTTGAGAAGAGAGAGCGCAATCGTGTCTTTTGGGCAGTCTACTGTCTGGACAAGTCAATTGCCTTACGCTGTGGTCGACCTGCGGTCATATGCGACGAAGAAATTAGTTGTACTTTCCCGCGAGGAATCGACTTGACCTATCCAGGTTCAGCAACCAACGTCACAGAGACAGGCGAAGGAGAGTTAGACGTCGACTTTTTCCGATACTTCACAAAGCTTGCGCGTATCGGTGGTGACATATCCCGGTCCTTGTATTCTGCCAGCGCTCTCTTCATGCCTATATCTCGGCTAGTGCCAGCATTGAATCGCTTGCTGCAGGACTTGGAGGGCTGGCTGAAATCTATTCCTATTAAGGTCCGGCCTGGTAGGCCACTTGGGAAAATCCTCGGGAGACAGGGGGTATCACGGGTACAAATCCTTGTTCTACATTCATCCTACTACTACGCGTTGTGCTCCATACTTCGACGTGGATCACCCATGTTCAATCAAGAAAAAGGAGATGTGGAACGCCTTATCGATAGAAAGTCTCATATATCGCACATAGAGGCTGCAAGGTCCATTGTCTTGCTCACGAAGCACCTAGACATCGAGAGCTTCACTCCGGCATGGTATGTCTCACACTCTTCTATGTCATTACCGGAATCTGGTCGTTGGACGATCCATAAATCCCCACACAGCTTCGGTTGTTTTCGCAGTTACGACAGATAACTCGCTTCGCTACTCTCTTACAGATGATTCACTATTTCTAACCTCTCACATGCTGGAAGGCTCGTCTTCTATTATCCATTCACAGCCTTGACTACAATCTTCGTGCATGTGGTGTCCAACCCATATGATAGCGATAACCAGAGCGACATAGCCCTCATGGAAACAGTCGTTGGATTCTTTGGTCGCCTCGAATATGTCACATCCGGCGAAGCTGCCTTTACAAAGACAACAGAATTTGTCCGACAGGCCCGGAGAGTTGTCGACAGTCACAAGAACGAGGACGATAGCCGGAATAAACACTGCACAACGAGCTATGATGATCTCATGACATCTATGGGAATGTCCCTGCAGGGTCATGCCTCTATGCAGGGTAGGTCAGCAGAGGTGACGGGTGTCTACGCACGCAATCCAATCACTGCTAGCCAAGACGTCAGTGCATCCAACATCACGGGCACTAGTTTGCCTCCCCAGCACGAACCTTCGCGAATGGAAGCCGTTAGCGAAGAGGACCATCCTGTGTCTGGCGTCGCGAACGTTCGAGAGATAGAAATTTCGCAGAATGGCCATACGATTTACTCCGACCTCGCTGGTTTTACGGTACCCAACATGGAAGACTCAATCCAAGTCCAGTGGTAGTCTACCTCTCAGGATCACCAACGGTTCCATGACCCAGATTCTTGTTCTGTTCGAGCAATCAGTGATTATCCTTTAATGTATAATTAAAGATGGCAAAAAATTGAAGGCATGAGGCTTGTTTTTCTACAGGATGAGGTGAGGAAAATTATTTTACTGGGCATGCGTATCACTGGAATGAAACGTCGCTGGTTAACTCCCCTATTTCACAGGCGAAAGATCCCATATGAATGAAGTAGTTGATCGTAAGTTGAATGAGCTTTTTTGATGGCTGCTAGCAATAATAACGCCTCAAGTGATGCCTCTTCCTAGCATTAGTTACCTGGTTCATTCCACGCACCATCAGAAAACGTTCTTGGGAACTTTAGTTAACAGAGGCCATGGTTGCCCCAATCAAGCCACTACGAAAACGGTTTTCTCGTAGATTGAGCGAATGGAAACTTTATCAAATGAACCAAAAATGCGACACTTCAACTTACTCCGGCTTGGAACCCAGGGCCGAACCCGGATCAAGGGTACGTAATAACATGGAGTTCTAAACCCGACAGTCCAATAGGCTCACAGCCAAGGCCGAAGCCGAGCCCGGGATGTTGTCTTCTCAGTCTTGCAGTAACCCCAAGCTAAACTCCTTGTGACAATTGTGACTACTGCTGTATAACAAGTACGAACAGTCTCATCGGCTAAGTCAAGGTAATATCACATGCTCGAAAAGTCCGGCAATCCGTGCGGGCCAATCTCGCGCCGCTTCTTCAACACTTTTTCGTCCCCTCCAGCGCGCAGGGCCCCAATCATGTCGTCGGCATCAAAGTCTACACCAATCGGGTTCTCGGTAAAGGCGTCGCTCATCATGAACGCAGTGGCCTCGTCGACCGTATCAAAGTTATCGACCTGCGTTTCCAGCATGTTGCAATCCGGGTCCTTGTAGTAGATGCTAGTCGTAGGGCCGTGATTGACACACCAGACGGGTTCGATGCCCCGGATCTTACGGTGGCGGTAGGCGAGCAGCAGAGCCTCTAGAGTATCAAAAGAGAAGGCGATGTGCTCAAGGCCGCAGCTCGCCGGGTTTTTGATCGCCGTTCCTGGAACCCCGATCAAAGCGATACGGTGGTGCTCGTTGTCGTAGGTGATGAATGATATCATCTCATTGCCGTAGGTGACGCTGCCCCCGAGGAACGTGGTGTAAAAGTCAACCATGCGGGGGAGGTTGCCGGTTCGTAGTACAACGTGGGCGAGGCCCGATGGACTCTTGACCTTGCCAACTGGAGCATCGTAGTCGAGAACCTTGCAAATTTCTGACATGCTTTCTTTCCAATTCTGACCAGTCTTCTTCTAAGTTCAGCTTTGGAGTACTTTGTAGGCTGATAACGATCGTGCTTTTGGGCGTGCAGCTATTGCGGTAGATAATTGTGTTGAGCAAAAGTTCATGTAAGTGAAAAATTGAAGGAGGAAAGTTGACGACATTTGTTTCCCCTCGTTTCTAAGGCACTCTGAGGAAATGTAGGCAATAGCACCAACTAATCGACTAACTTGGTTGAGACTAACGTCTCAATCCTTTGATGGTTTCCTTCAGAAATCTAACCCGAGCCCGATCCCGAAGAGACGAAAAGGCGACGAAAAGCGAATGGGCAAACGCGTCTTCGCGTTTTGCTAAAACGCGACGTACCGTCGAGCCACAGGTGTGTGATCTGACGCTGACAGTATTTATCTCTTATCTCCAGCTCACCATGCTAGATCCACGAATAAGAATTTACTTACTTCGAAGCTTGTTACACCACACCTTCTCTCTTCGAGATTTACTTGGCCACATTGTCATACTACTCTGTCATGATATCAATCACTTTTCGAACAAATCCTGACAAAAAATGAGCTACGTCACGAACACCACCGACTGGTTGTCTGATTCTATCACTTCCCAGGCCAAAAGCCTCATCGCTACTTTCTATGAGCTCGCGGATTCCAAAGTTGAGGACGCAGGAGATCGACTAGCCACCGAGGTATTCTCGAATCAAGCAACCTTCATTAGTCCTAGCGGGACATTTAATGGAACTGCAGGTAAGATAAGTCCTCCCCCGCGGTGATCTAATTAATTGAAGGGCGTCTTTTTCTATGCTAACCAAAGCCCTATGCGTGCTATGCTCAACAGAAATATCAAAATGCAGAGAGGGTGCATGGTCCTCAGTGACGTCAAGGAGGCACAGTATCTCGAAAGGGTTTGCGGCAACCCAACGCATGGGCACGAGCAGTAAGACTGAACTGGTCTTGCTTGGATCGGTCCATATGGAGTTGGTGAACGGGAAAAGCTTCGACTCGCCGTTTGCTGCTCACATTATCATGGGCTCCTCAACTCAGCGCTTAACCGAGCCTCGTATCGACTTTCTTGAGGTGTTTTCTGTGAGTGATCAATTCTCTGATAGGCGCTTCATTGGCCACATATTGATGCATTTCCCGGGAGGAAAAATCACCGCCAGCGGCGATTCTGAGTACGGAATAGGTATTCTGGTCATTGGGAGCTCTGCAGCAGGAGATTTGAGATACATGATTGATGTAGCGGGCAGACTGGGTTAATATGTCGTCAACGTTGATAACAAAAGACTTTCTGCCAAAGTACTTGTTAAGTTCACCCCTTCATTATGATTGCACACCATACAGAGACAGATTGACAGGTGCTCTTCCATAAGCGCCGCCTGCATGAGAAATACATGTCTTATTTCACTGTTTTCTCAACTCTCCAGCTCTTTGCTCACGCATGATAGCCATCATGACTTGGTCTTTAGCCCACCTCGGTAAGAAGCTAGAGCTGGCTTGCTGCAGCGCATGGCCCCAATATCCAACAACTATCCCATGCCCACGACCGGTTCGTGCCAGGGCGGCTCGGGCCATAGTCTGAGAATCGGGCGTAAATAGCGACGGAGCCTCCTTCAAGTGCGAAACATTCGTAACTCGACCTATCCGGACACCTAGCAACTCCACATTGCTACTATCATCGTCAAGTTTCAGCTCAAGACCCACGGCACGTGTCATAGTCATGAGGAACTGCTTGCTGGCGCTGTAAGACGCTAGTAGAGGGAATCCCTCGTCTGCCATGGAGCTAATGTTCATCACCAGGGCCGGCGCGTTCTGGCGGAGAACCGGTAGAAGCACTCTTGTAAGATGAAGTGGGAAGAGCGCATTCAGGCTGATGTTGCTGGCGATCCTGTCCGTTGAGCAGTCGACGAGAGGCGAGAAGACCGGGTTGGTGGGACCGCCTCCCGCATTGTTGATGACTAGAGTAAGATGTAAATCACGAAGTTCCGCTTGTATTGATGCAAAATCCGGGTGAGTCTGTGATGAATCGACGGGTTGAAGTGGCCGCTCAACCCCATTGTAGTTTACACCTGGCACGGCACTCGCGTCTGCCACCAGTATGCGGAAAGACCTTGCGGGGTATCTTTCTCGGAACTCAGACGCAACGATCGTAAGTTTAGCATGGTTTCGTCCATGAAGTACGACATTGAACCCTTGTGTCGCCAATTCAGATGCAAAAGCGCGGCCAATGCCGTCCGAAGCACCCGTCACAAGGGCCCAGGGCGCATCGCCGTTCGGAGAGATGTGCGCATAGATGCGGAGTCTCGAAGGAAGGGTGTAGATGGAAATCCAGTTCACTGCTTTAAGGCCGGCAAGACTGACAGTCAAGAGACCAACGATATATATGATAGTTTGAATGTACGCCATTGAGTGTGCGGGGGAGTTCGGTTCGTGAGGTGTAAGATGTGACGTGATAGTGTCAACATGCACGGACAAGATTTTTGTGGAGTATGAGTCCGTGTCGCTTACCCCACCTGAATCTACGAAAGTAAAGAAGACAACATTACATGCCATAGACCGGGGAAAATCATTCGCCGCGTACCGCGCGACATACGCCACTCCCTTCAATCCTTCAGCGTATCTGGTTTGATCACGCACTTTTACAATGAGGTAGCAGGGGTGATGCCCTTGCAGGAGCTAGCAGTGATAGCTACGGTAAAGAGTGAGTTGTGCCTGCGAGATCCTAGCACTCCGTGTAAGCTCGGCTTTAGTACGGTGTGCAATGAGATCCTGACTACGCCATCCGGGTACGAACGCATCGGAGAAAGCCCCGGTGATACTTCCCATGGTGATATCCTGCGTGGAGAATACATGTAGTTCTCTGCAGCGCTGAGATACGAGAGCAAGGTACCACTTTTGCATCAACTCTTGGCGGATCCCTGTACGTTTCTGCAGCTCTCAAGGTGAAGTTGACTCCATGTGGACTCATTATGGGGCCTCGAAAAAATAGAATGCACCGAGCTACTTCGTCTATGATAACTTGGCAGAAGAGGGGAGGGGGGGTGCAAGCCCGGTTCTCGGGCGATCACCTACGGCAAGTACTCGAGGCATGAGATTAGCCAAATTGCCGTCCTCGGGCGTACCTCGTATGTTTGGTGATTGAGCGTGGCCTTGGCTTTCGTTAAATAATCATCCTCTTTGTGGGCGATATCACTTTCTGAGCTTAGTCGTGTACCTAATCAACTTTCTACATCTGTTGGTTGCAACGATCAAAATGCAAATGATCCGAGTATGGCTTTTGATGGCATTGCCATTAGCCACATCGCAGATCACATCCACTGGCTTAACTCTTCTTTTGAACGGAATCCCATACTTCATCAGCCCCCACATCGCTGCAACTCTCTCGCTCCAATCTGGTGTCCCTAAAGATGTCGAGGATATCCTGGATTTTGTTCCGGTCGCGGTCCTGCCAGCTGCGAGCCGGGGAGATAATGTGTCCCAAATTTTCACCGCTTGGAAGGAGACTGACGACGTATTTCAATCCGGATTCATGCGGCTGCTCCTCAATCAGACAAACAACTCGGACACATCAATAGTTCAAGACATTCAAACTACCAATGAGATACCTTCGGCAGTGGTCAGCTTTACAACGAGGTCTAACGTGCCGAAGGGCCCTTATTTTCTGCGCAAAGGCACCGGAGATCTACATCAAGCGTACCGTCTTTACGACGATACTGCCGGTGCCTTCACCGAAGCCTTGCTAGACAACAGTGATGGCACTTTTCAAGTCTTGTCAGCAAAAATTCCCGGTTCAGCTACGTTCACCATCGGCGTGCCTTCACGATTATACTACGAGCCTTCAAAAATCAAGCCACTGGCTGGTGTCCGCATTGCCGTTAAAGACATCTTCTCGCTGGCCGGAGTTAAACAGTCAAATGGGAACCGCGCATGGTATCATTTATACCCGGCCAATAACGTCACGGGAACAGCCATCTCGAGACTCATCGAAGCCGGCGCCATCGTCGTAGGTACGCAGAAGTTGTCCCAGTTTGCAACGAGCGAGGTTGCTACTGTGGACTGGGTTGACTACCATAGTCCTTTCAATCCGAGGGGAGATGGCTATCAGGACCCATCCTCTTCGAGCTCGGGCGCAGGTGCTTCTGTTGCTTCTTATGGTTGGCTCGACGCTGCCGTCGGAACTGATACAGGGGGCAGCGTCCGTAGCCCTGCAGGCGTCAATGGCGTCTTTGGCAATAGAGCATCGCACGGAGCTGTGAGTGCCGATCACATCATGCCGCTATCTGAGCCTCTGGATACTGTTGGCTTCCTTGCCCGAGACCCAAAGCTGTGGGATAAACTTCAGGCTGTCACATATGGCTCCAACTACACTTCTCTGGCGGAATTGAAGCCGAAGTATCCGACCAAGATCATGACGGTGTCGTATCCCAACTCCAGCACTGAGGCAGGTTTACTTTTAAACAACTTCGCGACCGCATTGGCTAAGTTTGTGGGTGGGAACGTGAGCGCTTTGAATGTGGCTCAGCGCTGGAGCACGCGCGAAACCAACCCCAACGCCGAACTCAACTTCACCGAGACTTTCAACATCACTTACCCAGTTCTGACTGGGAAGGGTCAAGACGATGCGGTGGTCCAGCCATTCTTTGCAGATTATGCCAAACAATTTGACGGTCGTCAGCCGTTTGTAAACCCATCCCCACTGGCACGATGGGCTTGGGCTGCCAACTACTCCTGGGATGAGGCCATGCAGAACAAGACAATGTTCATGAACTGGTTCAATGATCATATCCTACCTCCGGTCAACGACACCCTGCAATGCTCATCCGGGCTCATTCTATATGCTGGCAAGACTGGGACGCAGTCTCCGAGGAACCGATACGACATCGCGCCACCAGCGCCATTCGCTGGCTTCTCAGCGGCCCGACTGTCTGTCTTTTCCGGATGCCCTGACTTGATATACCCAGTGGGTGAGGTGTCCAGCTTCAGCACCCTCACCGGTCATAGTGAGAAGCTGCCGGTGGCGGTAGGCATACTTGCGGCGAAGGGCTGTGATGGACTTTTGAGTAGGCTAGCGATCGATCTGGTGAGCGAAGGCATATTGAAAGTGCCGGAGGTTGGTGGTAGTCTTAGCGGTGGCCCAATTCTTATGTAGATGAATTGCACATATGCTATCTTATTTCAATTGCGATCTAGATTTGCTCCAGCAAGACGATGGCTTGGTAGATTGAAGACTCGAGGACGAGAAAGCGGTTCACATACATGGTTTTCAGAGCGTCGCTTGTTGCAATGGTTTTTGAGTGAAATCTCATTACGTCGGCAAGATTCGACGGGTCTTACACTGCTATCTGGACTAGGTATCTCAAGTTATCGCCACCGGCTCTTCTCTCATAGACATTCCTTCAACAAATAACTTTTATCCACAAACCCTTAAATCTTTCTACATTCAGGCGACTATATTCTACTCCATATCAATCCATCGTCCCATCCACCGTTGGTTCAGCTGCTTAGCTTCATCGACTAAACCAATCTCAAGCAATAGTTGAACGGCACCACGAACGGCAGAGTAAAGAGAGGAGCTGATCCACGCATGTGTGGGAGCCGTATGCTCACCGAGTACAATAACATTCGACTCAGTCTGATGGTATGCCGGGATGTACAACGCATGCTGAGCCACATCCGGGCGTGTCCAAGCAGTGGCGATGAATGGCTCGTCCAGCCAGCACAAGCGCTCATAGACGCCTGTGTATAGCTCTCGAACTTGCTCGCCATGTAAAGAAGCAATAGCGTCGAGGACCATACCGACGTGTTGTTCCTCGCTGAGACTGGCGAAACGGCTGCTCCAATCGCCTCCACGATAGTGCAGAATGAGACCTGGGCGCCCCGACTCGTTATGCCCGTACACTGGGTAGTAGAGAGCTCCAACAGCTGCGTCGGGAGGCGTTGAGTAACCACCAAATATGGGACGGTCACCTTTCTCCCAGAAACGTTCGCTAAAGAGCAATCCAACTTTGCAGGCGTCTTTAAAGCGGAGGCCGCGCTCAGCCATCGCCCGCGACAGCGTGGGCGAGAAAGACGGAAGGCGCATCATTCGCGTCATGGTGAAAGGCACTGCGAGCATTGTATAGTCGTAAGTTTTGCTCTGTTGAGGGCCTGGCTTCGTCTGGGTTCTGATGGAACCAACGTCGACCCAAGAGACCTTTGTGCCCGTGACCATGTTCTGGCCATCTTTGACAGCCTCAATCGCCCGGACCTGACGATTCAGGATGAGGCGGTCTTGGACGTGTGGTAGAAAAGCATCAGAGAAGCGGCTAAAACCGCCATCGACACATCGCCACTCTGTCTCGCCCAAGGTGCCCTTGCTGCCATCCTGTGCCAAGTTCGAGTTGTGATGCATCTCGTCCCAGAAGACGTCGTAATCAGTAGCACCGTGAATGGCGTCCGCTACCTCGGCGCTCGCGTTCCACACATTGCGCATCATGCTTTGCTGACTAACATCGTCGAGCCCTCTCCTCATAGCGCGCCCGTGCACTCTCCATACGTCTCTTTGGATCTCTCTGAGTGTTTCTTCGTTAAGAAGAATCTCGCTCATCTTCGCTTTGACGTCCTTGTACTCCTGTGTATTCATTGGTGCTGGCTTGCCAAGGCTCGAATTTGCAGCAATATCGGCACGAGTAGGAATGCTGCCATCGGGATGTCTGCCAGTGCCCAACGCTAGCAACTCATTAGGCGAGTGTTGGATCCAGGGGATAAAGCTGATGTTCAGGTCGGTGTGACTGTCTTCGTTCATCTCATTGAGCCAATCTGCGAGCTGGAACGTCATGGCATGATCAGAGTACTCGAGGGTCGCATTGTCACTCTTGTACTTGATCTTGTATGGAAGACGCATAGGGCCCATTTCTGCCCATTCTTGGGTGTTTCCGACGTATATAGTCCGCAAGCGTCCACCGATCTGGTGACTAGCCTCGAGTATCTCCCAGTTGTGCACACCAACACTATCGAGCATAAGGGCCGTGGCTAGGCCCGTGATACCCGCTCCGATGATGGCGACGGTGGTGTTCTTGGCTTGCTCCGCATTTTGAAGGCCAGAAGTGGCATTGATAGCGGCTACTTCCTCAAACCAAGCGCCCAGAGCGTCAAAGTCTTTTAGCAGTGGTCTTTGGGAGTCGGCGGCTGCAAGGCTTGAGCCGGCATACAGGGCAGCCAGCACGACTGAGCTTGTATGAAGGATCATCTTGGGGAATGGCTGAGCTGATAGATAGAGAATTGTGATGTTTGCGTATAGACAATATTTGTCACTCCGGGGAGACCAGCGACTTGGAAGGGCGACAATGATGAATCTTGAGATCCGGAATCGGAACTCGATGGCTTATATTTTTATTACTGGGATGTGGGACTGAATCCATCTACAAACCTTTCATCGCGCATATTGACACGTACTCAGGACTGGTGACAAAGATTGAAAAGTTTGGCCTGTATAGCTGCAAACCGAGTTCTAAGTTACCTCCGAGTCCCAGTCGGAAATTCACTGTGAATGAGTGATTAAAATTGTTGCATGTAGTCAGGTAATTGTCGAGTCCAGTGAGGCGATAGTTGAAGACGAACCTTGATGTCACGATCTTGCCTACTTTCGGGACCCTAGAAATTTGAGTACGGATGTGTACTTACAGACTAGGTACTTGCGTTGGCCCACTCGGGCGTTCCAACGGCTGGGGCTGTGTTGCATTGCATATTCCCATTTTCCACGTAAGGGAAATGCTCGGGTTCGGGTTGCATTGTAGAAACACCTCGCCGCCTCGGACAGTCGGGCCACTTCGGAGATACCATATGGCGTGTATTTAGATGACCTTGGCACCCCGGGAAGATTTAGGTTTGTGGTCCGCGGAGTGCATTAGTCTGATGGAGTACATGGCGGCTAGAATGCTTATCAATCTAATCATACATCAACAAGGATCTTGTGTCAGCAGCTTTGGGCACAGTGAAGATTTCTGGGTCTTTTTGCGATCACCAATCAAGGACAGGCGTTGCCGCATCAGCATTGGGTTTACTGTTACATGATGTAGGTAGCAGACGGTGGGATATGGCCTCATGTTCAGCCATGGTGTCACTGAACGCTAGGATTCTGCTTCCAGTCAACCCTTATCAAACCATGTAGACGCAAAGCACTTTGGCAGAATTATTTGATTTCCAAGTCAAGCTCGATCGAGTGCTACTAGTGAGCTTTGTAACAATCCGACCAAGCGCTTTCAGTCAATGTAATTCCAAAAATCAGGTCAGTCAGCTTCAGAAAGCGCTGATCTTGCCCTGTCGAGTAAAAGAAGCTGAGCCGACTCCGGCCTGCCCCGCAAGTCTTTACCAAACTCCTATTGCTGGAGGCTTTCTTTCGAATTGCCCTAGAGATGCCCTGGTTGGAGACGTAGCACACTCTTCGCCAGCCTCACCAATAATCATGGGGACTTTTCTGCATTCCCTTTGAGTTGCGCTTGATGGCCCTGCTCTTTTAATTTGTGGTCGTCAGGGCGGGCCAAATCAATGTGTGGCATCAAGAACCATGCGACGAAGAAACCTGCTGCTGCCAAGCCAGAACCAAGCTCAAAAATGACCTTGAACGATCGTTGATACGCAGGAGCGAGAACGTCGCGAATACGTTGCGCTTCTTCGTCGGAAAGCGACGACAAGTATTGCTGTGGGTTGCTGAGAAGGGAGTCTAGTCGTTCTGCACTTAGATCCAGGCCATTGACAGAGTTCTTGACAATGTTATTTCTTGGGAATGTTAGTACGTCGCTCGATAGAGCGAGTCGTGAATGCCTCTGGGAAGCCGACTTACAAAATTGTGCCGCAAATGGCGAGTCCGAATGTAGCCCCCAAGTTCCTAACAAAGCTGTGTCACTAGAGTCAGTCGCACCGTCACATTTTCAGTCCAGAGCCAAGAGATGACAAACTTGCGGAAGGATGTGACAACGGCCATGTCCTTTCTTGGGACGCCCGCCTGGATGGCTACCAGGGCACTGTCGACGTCCGCATCAGTAAACAACACGGTCATCGGGCGAAATCTAGACGCTTACGGCTGAAGAGTATTGCCCACACCCACGCCAATGAGCAGGGAATAGCCGATCTGCTTTCCTAAGCCGGAAGTTTCGTTGAGAGTGGACATGAGACCCAGACCGACCGACCAGCAGAGCCAGCCGAACAAGATGCACTCGCGGTAACGTCCCACCCAGTGGACGATGAGTCCAGAGAGAGTACTACTCGCGGTCTGAACCAGGGTGATGGGAAGAAGCATGACACCAGACCTAGTGGCCCCATAGTTGTAGACGAGCTGATAGAAAGTGGGAATGTAGTAGACCTGAACGACAAAGTTCCAGCCGTTTATGGCCATTGTAATGCATGCACCAATGGTCATTCGGGCGCGGAAGATGTCCACTATGTAAGTACGAAGGATATACGTTAGTTCTATAAGCGTAAGCAAGGGAGACGTGGGATCTTACGAGGCACGAGCGGGTATTTTGGTCCCTTCCACTGCCACAAAACAAAGATGACGCAGATGAAGGCGCCAACGATGAGGGTAGTTAGGACGGCTGCAGAGGCCCAGGGGTACTCGCCACCGCCCCAGGTTAAACCAAGCATCAAGCTCGTGGTGCCAGCCAATGCAAGAAAGATGCCTACGAAGTCAATGGCTCGTGTCTTTCTAAGTTGAGATGCATTTGGTCAGCTTGTGCGGGGTGGGTTAACAAGAAGACAACTGACACTTTCCAGTCCCCTTCGACCTTTCTGAGGGGCATGAAGAATAGTGCGCATCCCGCAGATAGCGCCGTTAGGGGCAGATTCAGACGGAAGATCCAGCGCCATGAATCGCCCCCCTTGGAGGATAGAGTGCCGCCGATGACCGGGCCTATTCCGTTGGCCAATGCAGTGACGGCGCCCTTGAGAAGCCAAGATGTTAGCAGAACAGGGGCTGTTGCAGGGGATGGGGGCGTGAGTATTCATCTACCCGGCGAGGGAAGAATATCTGATCAAATCTGATACTCTGGCAGGGAATAGAGTCTAGGGTGGAGATGTAAAAGTGGCCGGCTGGAGAAACTTGCCAAAATACCCTGATATTTCCCCCTCTCACGAAGAGGCACTACATCGCTAACGATCATCTGTGCAACTGTC